GTTAAGTGCCCTGAGACAACTTTGTTGTGATTTGGAGCTGTATAAATCAACTGAATTGAATTGAAATCTTAAAATAAAAGCAAAATGTTCAGCAAAAGCTATTAACAGTGGAAACATAAGAGTAGCTTCAAATTACAAGTAGCAAAAAGGCTAGCTAAAAGGTGCAGGACAGCAGGTAAGAACTAAAAGTAGCAATAAATAAATAAATATAATAAACAGAGCTCAAGCAAATGTCTAAGAGAATTGTGTTTTTGAATAAAGTTGCATCCTGGGAACAATCAAAAAAGTTTGTGAAGAGTTGTCAATATAATAATTATTACACGAAAAAGCTAAAACTGCAGTTTGAACACTAAATAATTAAAAACTTTTTTTTTTTTTACAATAGTCTGTATTTAAATTGTATTATCGTTTTAGTTATGGTAGAAAATGAGACAGCACCTAACTGTTGACTATTAGTAGTCATCCTAGAAAACTTAATAAGGCCTCATTTTAATGGTTATAAAAAGTCACATGATCAGTTGTCCTAAACCATTAAGCCTTTTCTAACCTTTCTCTGCAGCTGAACGCTTCCAGACATGTGCTGTTCTGTACGTTCGGATTCTTTGCTGTGGACAGATTTGACCTCGGGCATGATTAGCCTAATAAAAGCATTAGATATGCTGTCAATATGATTTGCATAATGTGCAAAGGCAGTTTTACTCCCAAGTGCGAGGGGTGTCCATGTGGCTTAAAAATGTTGCAATGACATTTTTTTTCTGGGTCCTTTGTTCACACCTGTCAGGGAGAAAATGTGATGGGGAACGGCAGCCACAGCTGTGGCTTTGGCCTCTGGTGAGTCCACTGAGCCCACCAAGGTCCTGTTAAAGACCAGTACATTAACCAGGAATACGCATACATTTCTGGAACACATGCTTTTTTCTCTTGTGTTGAAAGGAATAATGTTTTAGTGCATTAACTGAGGCATCTGGATTTAGATTGGCTCCAAATGGTAATGAGTTGTAGAGGTATATAAAAACAAAACAAAAACAAAACTGAATTTCTGGAATCCAACAAAGTTAAGTCAAGTCCTCTGGATGGTTTCTTTCTATTCTTTTTTTTTTTTTTTTTTTAAACGTTTCATCCTCCATCCAAAGGACTTCATCAGTTTTGAACCACTTTCCTCAGAGGAGTCGACAGGGGAGAGGGCGGACTCCAGAAACAACCTTATCACCTTCAAACTGGTTGGCCCATTATGTGAGTGTGCTGCTTATGGGACTGAGTTTGTTGTGGCTCCTCGGACTGATGAAGTCCTTTGGATGAAAGATTAAAAGTTTCAACAACCACAAAAAAAGAAACCATCCAGAGGACCTGACTTACTGTAACTTTGTTGGATTTTTTATCTGCATTATTGAGCATGAACCTTGAGAATTTCTGGAAGTTGCATTAAAATCCATCAAGTTCTTCAAAAGATATTTTGCTAACACACTGTTGACTCCAAATTATCAGTGGCAAAATAATAAACACAATTTCGTGCTTACCTACCAACCTTCACAATTTCGGCAAAACAGTCACGGGGCGTGACACCCAGATGTCCAGCATTTCACAAGTGCTGGCTTTATTTAAACTAAATGTTTTTGCTACAGTGTAGCAGCACCATGCACCTGGATAAGATGACTGGCTCATCAATATTCACAACTTTATCCTAAACTAAATTCATAACTGGCCTGGTCTGGCTTGGCTCTGCACAGGTGCATTAGTGTGCAAGCTCTAAAGACGTCATTCTTCTTCTTTTTTTTTTCTGCTGAGCAAACACAAAGATGCTTGAAATCTTAAAGCGTCGTGGCTATTGTCATAGAAGAGTGGATTTGTCCTGAAGATATCAAAAGTACATATACATGTAGTAAAACAAGCTGATGGTTTTGTCTGGTATGGAGCAGAGAGTGAACTTCAATGGGAGAAGGGGATTGCTTGAATGTGTGTGTTCTTGTAATGGTGGGGGTAATTTAAATGTCTACAAGTTTCAGTAAAAATGATTAATCCAATCTTTAGTTGATGTGGCCATCATTGGAAATTGGGTGTTGCCTGCTTGTTTACTAGATAAAGTTATAAGGTGCAAAGGCTATTCTGTTGCCTTCAGACTGTCCCTCCTGTACCTCCTAGTAGGTTTAAAGGTATGTTCTTATCGCTGATAATATGCAGCTTTGCCGGCGTGTAAAAGTGAAAGCTTTTTGTCGTTAATTTTATTCCAAACCTTTTTTTTTTACAATTTACCAGCTTTTTAGCTGGATATGAAGGATTTGCTTCAAATGAATTCCAGATTTAACAGTCATTAGGCTTTAATTTGGCATCTTAAAATAACTCACTTAAGAGAGGATATGAGAGTTTTTTGTTTGTTTGATATGAGCGAAATTCTGGTCAATTCATATAAAGTACAGCAATATATAAAGTACTAAAATTATGTTCAGATATAACCCTAACCCAACCCTAACTTTAAAAATCTGTGATATCAACCTACTGAGTCCGCTAGGAGGTAGAGGAGGGAAAGTCTATGGGGATGATAACAACTGATAACGTCCATTTAATGGGCGATAACATTCAAAGCGGGTGAAAAAACACAAAAACAAAGGAAAGGTAATACAATTTTCAAGTGCAATCTCAGATAAAGTTCAGCTTAAAGGCTAGTTGTCATTGCTCTACTTTTTAATAAAACTATAATACACTGATTTGGTTGTTTTATCAAGAATTTAGATAAACGCACTTAAAATGGCTTTATGTGTACTTTCAAGGAGATTATTTCCAGATATCATGAGGTGGCATGCCTCCACTCAACCCGCTGCCATCAGAATATGTTGGCAGGTATGACAATCATGCACAAGCATTTACCTCTCAAAATATCTGTTGGGGAGTCACCTCTGCTACTACCACATCAAATATGAACTCAGTGTTGGTATGATTGGCTGAGGCAGGCTGTGGCAGCCATCTTGGATCATGTTCACCACAAAATCTATTCAGTTGTAGTTGAATAATAATTACTTTCTGTTGAGTTTTAGTCAAATTTGTCTAAGGGTTCACAACATATTTGATTAACGGACAGACTCACTAACACATACTTTGGTAAAAACATCATCATCCACCTTCATTCATTGGCAGGCGATCAAAACACAAGGGTCATCATTCACATTTCAAGATAAGTTTGTCGACTGACTTTTTAGGACACGCAAATGAGCTTAATTCAATCCTGTATTTTTTGTTACAGATGTCAACAGGTTAACACAACTTTTAGTTATGTTTGGCCTCAGTAAGAACTCCCTCCCCCACCACACACACACTTACAAAGGCCAGCCTTAGCACAACCTTACTTCACAGATTATTGACAACCTCTGTGACGTTCATGTCAGTAACAATCACTTCAACGCTGAAAACCATGTAATGAGTTCATTATGGCACAGAGGTCAAAACTGTCACATTATGTTGCCTTAAATACGAGCAGTGCGTGCTTTCTCACAAGCCTTGTAAGTCTCGTTTTTTACGTTTAGTTGCTTGGGATGGGGAGATAATGCTTCTGAAATTACAAGCACACATTACAGAGCAGAGTAAGGTGTGGGTAATACACATTTTCCATTTTCCCTTTGCAGGTCAGTTTGTCTGTGAGGCAACACTGGCCTTTGTATGACCTGTAGAAATATGACACTTTGAAAACCATCACGTCGGGTTTCATTTCCTGAGCTTAGGCTATACGGAGTGCGTCGGTGGCTGCTGTGTTCTGTCATCATGTTGGGCATCCAAATGAGACCTGAACCTTGAGGAAAATTCTCCCTCCCATCTTTATGCCCAGTTGGTTTACCATCCCTTGGCCCATTAGCTTTTACGATTGGTCCGACATTTGCATAACTGTTGGAGAAGGGAACAGTGAACCAGGGAGATTAAAGACAGAATCTAAAGGTGGTCACATCAACACGGGCAAATGGAGTTTTTTTTTTTTTAAAGCCCACGCAGCAAAAATGGACTTTCATTTCAACCAGCTATTTTCTAGGTGTTGGAGAAAACTTAACAAGTGGAGCCAGTTATGCCAAGATGTTCCTTTTCCTAAATGACCTTTCTGATCTTTGAGGAAATAAATGTTTTGTGTTTACAGGGAGACTGATAAAAAAAACAGGAAACAGCAGGTGTTTTATTCCAGCGGTTATTTACTGACTTTGACGGATGGTTAAGTCTCAGCGGGAAGCAACATTTTGCTTATTTCAACACCTAAAACCTCTCTGTATTTATCCGACACTCAGGCTCAGAGTTATCAGCAAGAGAAAACATATGAGGTGTAAAAGCAATGTGACGATACCTCTTCACATCTACAGTAATCCACAAAAAGTAATGAGAAACAGCTCATGCATGATGTTTGGAGAGCGGTTTGCCTTTTACTGCGGAACATGAAATCAGCCTAAAGCTGGATTTTCTTCTTTCTTCCTGCATAAAGAACATTTCTGGAAAGGGCTTATTTCTGATTGTAATTGTTGCTGTTAAATTAATCAAAATCAGACTTTGTCTGCATTAAATGCATAGCCGTCAGGCTTTAGGATACATCACAGTTTCCATTATTTCACATAAAAAGAGTCAAGCACATGACCAACATGACAATTTTTTTCAGATTATTGCAACACTTTGTTTGTTCCAATTCTTGATAACAATCCCATTTATTGCTTCACTGAAAGGGAATGTGGAAACTTTTTCAGTGACCTACAGAAATAAAAGCCACACAGTGATAGAAAATAGTTTCATGTGCAATCTTGCTGCACCATTTTGTTATTCAATGGAAAAAAAAATCAAACTCAGCTTTGGTTCAAGGTTCTTTACTGTCATTCACATCACATGTGGTACATAAGGTGGAATGAAATTGTGTACCCAATGTCCCAGTTATACCCAAAAATAGCAAAAATATAAAATATTTTTAAAAGTGGACTGGTTGCGCAAATTCCAATGCAAACCCATGTAGCTCATTCAGGCTGAGCGTGATCAGGCCTCTCTACCCATGAAGCCTGGTCACCAGTCACTTTTACTGACAAGTCCCTCTCCAGGCCTGGCTCCAGGATGGGGCCCTGATACTTCATGTCTGAGCAAGGAAGATGTAACATCAGCCTGTCTTCTGTCTATTTGTGCATCATGAGTCACTCTTTGTCTGTTCTGTCACCTAGGACCAATCTACCTTGGGAGACCCAATTAGGGGCAATTGCCCCTGATAGCGATGGTGATGAAAGTTGATACCTTTTCACAAAAATCCAAAACACATCCGATGTGACTGGGCAAAAAGCTCTGACTTTAAATGTCACTCCCATAAACATCTTCCAAAAACCATGGGTTTTGTCAACAAGTATGTTGGTGAAATCCAGTCTGGTTTTATTGTGTTTTTCTGCCAATAGTGGAGCCCTCGTCCATTGAGCTGATTATCAAATGTGACGGTGCAATTATAAGTGGCATACTGTAACTTTGGTGTTCAACTGAAATGTTTTTTTTTTCCTTGTCTCTCGGTGTAGTGTTGCCTCTTGCATCTATGGCCTGAGCATTGCTTGAAGATGGACTTGTAGCATTTTAACATGAACATCTATAATCATTCTAAGCTCCACAGATGGCTCTCAGCTTTGCTTTCTCTGGTCCATGTGGTGCACCTAACAACACCAAAGTACCCAGTGGCTGTTTGTTACCTTTAAATAGGCTGAATGACCTTAATTAGCATTTGTGATATTAATTAAGGTCAAACTGTTTGAAACATGGCGTTATTGCAAAAAATAATTGTCTCTATAAAACCCCAACCAATCTATTTTCTAAGGGAGTTTTTCCTTTCCACTGTTGCCATTGTGCTTGCTCAGGATGGGAGACTGCGACAAAGTGAAGATTCAATGAGTCTGCTGGCTTCCTTAGATAGAGAACTTTTTTTTCTCAGTTATTTTGTTTCACATTCTAAAAGGTATGTATATTTTTTTTTCTGCATTTTTAAACTAAAAATTCTAATTTTGTCATTAGATCATATTGCATCCTCCTTTTCCTGAGGTTGATGTGATGGTATTGTCATTATGGTTTTACTGTGCTTGATGACATTTTGCCTTCATGCAGCGAACTCATCCAGCACAGGTTCATTGTTAGAAGCTCTTTCCTTGAAAATAAATAAACAGGTCCTCTTTTCAGAGGCTTGTGCAGCTTCAGATAAAGGCGATCTCCAGGAAAATTACAGTTATGGATGGAACATTTCCTTTTGTGTAGTTGGGCTGGCTGAAGCAAACATCCAAATGTGAAACTTGTCTTTCACACAGGAAGATCGAATTTTTTTTTTTTTTTTTTTGCAGGCGGGCTCAAAATAATGTAAAGCAGGAAGAAGCAATTTGAAGAAAGTTGTCTGTTTTGGTAAAACGGGCCATTGTATTGCTCTTTCTTCGGAGCAGCTATGCCTGCAGCAAGCGTAAATATTCCAGTCTCCCTTGCTTCCACCACGTACTGGCAGCAAACTCCCAAACCTTCCTGCCTGCTAACAGGATTAGCCCCAGAGCTCCACTTGTTTCAACTGAGTTATCAAGTGAAAAAAAAAAAAAAACACCCTCCTGGTGGCTTTTGCAACATCAAAGCTTTGGTCTTTAATTTTGACAGGTTAATTAATGGTAAAGTTTTGCACAGCATCCCTTGAGGCTTCTTTGTTCAATAAATGTTAAGTACATTTACTGTTGTGATTTTTATTTATTTATTATTAATAGACTTTTATGAACTGGCGTTCAACCACATGCTCACTTTTTGAGAGAATTTGACAGTTTAAAACTCTTAACAGGTGGCATGTTTAGCTAAAGAACAGCGTGTGGTTCAATATTAAATAATCAGTCTGTGTCAAAATACTTATTCAAGTTTGTATGAAATGTGTTCCAAGGTGAGACAACCATCCTGCACAGGTTCTCTGTTAGAACCAAATATACTGCATGCATATTGTACCGGAGACAGAAATGAACAACGAAAAAGTCATCACATCCAAACAGTGAATGGTGTAAAAATAATATGCTATATCAAAACAAAAGGTGCCCTTAAGGAAAGGCTTATCACCTGCTACATTTCATGCCCATGTTTTAGATTAAGATGATGTATTAGGATAAATTAGAAAATAGCTGGGTGGCATGGTGGCTCAGTTGGTAAAGCTGCCACCTCTCAGTGAGAATGTCTCTGGTTCAAATCCTGGCCAGGGACCTTTCTGGGTGGAGTTTGCATGCTCTCTCCGTGCTTACGTGGGTTTTCTTCTGGTGCTCCAGTTTCCTCCCACAGACCAAAAACATGCATGTTAGGCTGATTGGTAACTAAATTGTGGGTGTGAGAGTGTGAATGGTTGTTTGTCTCATTTGTATTTTACATTATTAGTGTTTAGCGTATATCTTAGATCCTTCTATACCGTTTCTTTTTATACTTGACAATAGGAACTGAAGTTGTCCACCTTACTTTCTTTAAGAGGTTTTAAACATTTGATATTGCCATTTGCCAATAGAAACATCAAAGCAAATGTTCTTGTTTTTAGTATTTCACCGTTGTACAGCACCCTCATTTATTGTTTTATACACTACTCTTATTTTAACTGCATTTTAAATGTAGTTTATCGTTATTGTTGTCTGTACTTTGTTTGTTCTGTCTGGAACAGGTCATAAATGAGTCCTCATGGCTCAGTGAGACTAGCCTGTATAAATAAAGGTTGAATGAATGAACTTTATATTTTTGGGTGAAACTGGGATCTTGAGTACACGATTTTGTTCCACCTCATGCACCACATGTAATGCGAATGACAATAAAGAACCTTGTCTCTATAGTGTTCCTGTGATGGACTGAAGACCTGTCCAGGGTGTCCCCACCTCTCGCAGTGACTGATGGATATGTGCACCAGTGATGCACGTCCCAAAAAGGAAGAAGCAGGTAAAGTTAATGGATGGATGGGGAAAGTATCATAGTTGTTTTAGTCAAACCTCAAAAATATTTTTTTTCTTGCAATCTCAAGTATGAGGGAATGAGTTGAAAATACAGTAACTCTCTGTTTCTAACACGTTAAATTTTAGCAAAATATCTATAAAATTGACCCGAGTTATAGCCATTCATGTTTTGGCTAATGTTAGATGTGGTAACTGTCTTGAAACAGATTTCCTCAAAAAGTAAATCAGTACAAGTGGTGCGAGAGCTTGTTTCACATTGCTAGCAGTAAGTTGGACCCCTTCATAGTGGGAGTTGGACTCCGCCAGGGCTGCCCATTGTCACCGATTCTGTTCATAACTTTTATGGACAGAATTTCTCGGTGCAGCCAGTGGGCGGACAGTTTTCGGTTCGGTGGCCTCAGGATTCCATCTCTGCTCTTTGCAGATGATGTGGTCCTGTTGGCGTCATTGTGTCGTGATCTCCAGCTCTCACTGGAGCGGTTCGCAGCCGAGTGTGAAGCGGCTGGGATAAGAATCAGCACCTCCAAATCTGAGGCCATGGTCCTCAGTCGGAAAAGGGTGGATTGATCTCTTCAGGTCGAGGGTGAGGTTCTGCCTTAAGTGGAGGAGTTCAAGTATCTCTGGGTTTTGTCACAAGTGAGGGAAGAATGGATCGTGAGATTGACAGACGGATTGAAGCAGTGTCTGCAGTATTGAGGACCCTGTGCCGATCCAGTGGTGAAGAGAGAGCTGAGCTGTAAGGCAAAACTCTCTGTTTACCAGTCGGTCTACGTTCCTACCCTCACCTATGGTCATGAGCTCTGGGTAGTGACCGAAAGAATGAGATACAGGCGGTTGAAATGAGTTTCCTCCGCAGGGTAGCTGGACTCTCCCTTAGAGATAAGGGGAGAAGTTCAGTTATCCGGGAGAGACTCGGAGTAGAACCACTTCTCCTCCATATCTCGAGGAACCAGTGGAGGTGGTTCGAGCATCTGGTAAGGATGCCCCCTGGACGCCTCCCTAGAGATGTGCTTCGGGCATGTCCGACTGGGAGACCCCGGGGAAGACCCAGGACACACTGGAAGACTGTCTCTCGGGTGGCCTTGGAACGCCTTGGAATCCTCCCATAAGAGCTAGAAGAGGTGGCTGTGGACAGAGTCAGCCTCCCTGCTCAAGCTGCTGCCCCCCCGCGGCCCGATTTTGAAACAAGCGAAAGATAATGGATGGATGGGAGGAAATAAACCAGTAGTTAAGGTAGATCCAATGTTTACTTACGGGAAGTTTCATTAAAAAATTCTTCCAATGGATTATGATATTTTGCTCATCAACAAATGGGACACCAACAGTTATAAGTACATGGGTTTATGTCTAGCACAATGATTAAAACTTAAATATATGTGCTTTGAACGATTTTCAGCTACTACCACACATAATTCAAAACTGACAGAATTTTAGCAACTTTTAGTTTTTAAGTTGGACATGGTGGCCATTTTGAATTTGATTCAACAGAGAAGGTAATCTGGTTTAGAGGTACAATGCAATGGTTGATGAGATATTTTTCAAACAGACAAACTCAACTAAAAAATTGTGAGTTTTGTTAAAAATCATCAAGTGGTTCGTAAGATATTTTGCTAACAGATATCTGAACACAATTTTGCCTGCCCCTGTCTTTTGACTGTGGGCCAAAACGAATGAGACACATTGTTTCATTTTGAGGTGCAGTGACAAGTAGATTATTTTTTATGTTTTACAGATTAGACAACACATAAATCAAAACACAAAACATAAACACAAAATATTCCCTTTATTTTTTCTACCTTAAGACTACACAGGGTCACCAATGTAGCTCTAAGAGGTATCTACATTTGCATTTTATTTACAGCTTACTTTGATGTCTTCATATTTACACAGTCAAAGAAGTGCTAAAAACACAGTGTTGAGAACAAACCAAAACTCAAAATGAGTCCAAAACTTTAGAAAAGATACAGTCTTCATGACGCAACAGTTATCAGTGCAATATTCCACAATGCAAATATCCTTCATTCATATTTTACTGAACATACATATAGTTTTTGGAAACATCACTGAATCAACCATCGGGGGGGGAAAAAGCACTGTTTACTCCATCATTTGTACAGACTGAGACACAGTCATGATCTCAGCACCCCTACACACACAGACGAGTTCATGTTGGATGGAAAAATGACAGTCAAGAGTGTGCAGTGGCTCGGCATAGTTCAGAACAAGTACCAGAAGTCAAATCAATGTCACAATTTTCAAAATAGTCTCCACTCCCCTCGAGTTTTCACATCATGACTTTTTTTTTTTTTCCCAATGAGCAGAAGTAAATTGTCCTTTTAGAGAATCCACTGAGGATGGGGGAGGGGTGGGTCACAGATGCACGAGAGCTAGAGAGTGTCCATGTAGGTTATTTCTGATGTTGGTGTGTATAGACAACCTTTAGTTTGTAAATGGGAACTAGTACACCTGCAGGTCAAATGCATTTCCACCAACCAAGTGGAGCCCTATTCTGGTGAAAGACAGCACTTTCGATGCCGACCTGCGGGCAGCCCTCAGGGCAAAGGCAATTCGGATCTTTCATCACATCCACAACACAATCCAAAGCCCATCTGTCTCTGCAGCCAGTATGCATATGAAGCCCCTATGACTGAATGTACTGCATCTTTTTTTTTACTCCTTTTCTCATCGAAAATAATCTCCAGCCAACGCTTTTTTCTCTCTTTTATTTGATTGGACATTTTGTTGTGGAATACTGACTTACTGATGAACCAACTGTAAGAAACTGAGATAAGTAAAAAGGCAGCGAGTCTAATAAAGCACACGACTGAACTAAAACCACCTTCTTAGTTTATTCCATGTGTTCAAGTTCAAACACCCTTAAGCATTGGTCAAATACAACAATTTACAATAAAAGGGACAATAATTCACAATTTTTTCGTAATTCACATTAGATATACTGTTAATTCATATAGTTATTTATAAAACAAAACTGAAATGTGACTCAAAACCACCTCCAGAAAATACCTGTTGTTGTTTAATACAGACCTTTATTCCATAGTATTTTCTTACAAGGTTGGCTCTGATACATTTTTAGAATCGAGCTTTTTGACCACACTGAACAAAAAAGGACACATTTTCCCACGTTCTCACTTAAAAAAATAAAGTGTAAAATGAAAGAAACAACCAATAAAAATCCAGCACATATCTATTTGTTGGCTTTACTATTCAATTTAGGCTTAAGGTTTTTTTTTTGTTGCCAATTTTATAGGTGAATCAAAATCCCAACATGCAGTCAGTGTGCACAGAAGCCTTCCATGTGAAACCACAAATGAGTATAAAGCCTCCTATAAAATTATGAGACGTAACACAAATGAAGGTGCTTTGACAAGTTTGACTGTGGTTTTGATGAAGGGCTTTAGCGCCACCAGAAATCTCTCATTATTTATGAATGACGGGGGCTGTGAGGGTTTCAAGTATAAAAACGAAATGATTAAAAGAGATGGAATCTCCTTGGCTGAGGTGCAGAAAAGGCAGAATGGAGCAAGCTCGTGAATAACAATCCGTAAGTCTGGCAGCAGAGTGAGCCAGGGAACCTAATGCATTACCAAAACTCCACTTGGATTCCTTTGAACAGAATCACCAACAGGGATGGGGAAATGGAGTCACAAAAAGAAGTCAAAGACATCACAATTATTCATCCTCTAGCAGCCGCACTTCGAGGGCAAAGACTGGTAAAGAATCTTCAAAAGGAGAAGGGCACTCTTCAATTAATACAGTGCAACTGTTTGCAACCATTTTGTTTCCTTTTTTTTTTTTTTTTTTTACAGTATATTAAAAACCAAGCTGAGCACAGTCAAAGAAAAAATATGTGGTCATGTATACAATTGTCTTTGGCAAAATGTCCCATTTTTCTACGTGTGAGTCCGTCACTCAAAAGCCTTGTGTTCATGTCACCTTCGGCCCATTTCACTCTGTCTCATGAAGTGGACGTTGTTGACACTGTCTGCCAGCTCAGGATATTGGTCAATTGACACTACGTAGTATCCTTCATAGCCTTGCACTTTTCCTGAGCCCAAGAGCTGCTGCTTCTCTCCCTCAGTCCAGGTTCGTGAGCCCTCCTCCCCATCCCTCAGTCTCTGGCGCTCCAGGGCCCAAGCCTGGCTGACGGCTCTCTGTCGGGCCAACTCCAAGACCCGGGCCTTTTCTTCATCCACGCTGCTGCCGTAACGCGTATTCAGAAGCAGCGCTCCATACTGCAGCTGGATGTCAGTGATCCGCCTAGTCCTGCCGTTCAGCACGGTGTTGACCTGAGACACTGTGACATTGACGCCATTTTCTAACGTGCGCCGGCCCACCGTCATGCCGATGAGCGACAGATCTCCTTCCACCGAGCCCAGTTTCACAAAGTAATGGGTATCCATTCCTGCATTAGTGAAGTGAAGGTTTTCAAGGTAGAAGGCATCGTTCAGTACTGCAGCCATGCGTCGCCCGTCCTCATTGGCCAAACTGATGATGTCGGTGCTAATTCGACCATCTCGAATAGCAAATTTCACCCCTTTCTCAAAGATGGAGCCACCAGAGGCAAAGATTTTCTTGTCTTCAGTCTGGGGACACCCGGCACTTTTGGCTCTGTAGATTTGACCAAATCGTTCCAGCTTTACGAAGGCCTTCAGCTGCCTCTGAACTTCACACTGAACGCCCAGCAAAGACTGCAAAACAAAGACAACACTGTTAAGTCACAGCCCCCGCAGCAGATATAACACATTCCAATATATTTTCTGCTTTAAACCTTTAATAAAACAGCACAATTGTGCATTTGAAGACATTGCTAAACATATTTACCAACATTTTACTTCTTGCTCACATTTTTGCTTTAAATGTTTTATCTCTAATCAACTCTGCATGGTCACTCGGCAGAACAGTCTGCTTTCTGAAGTTTTATTTTTAAATGTGAAATTCACTCTTGCATTGAAACTTCAAACCTTTCAAACTCAATGCTGTGGCTAAATTGTTTCCTTTTCGAAAAACATAGGACTGAACGAGGTTGGTTTTAACCTTAGAAAGATCTAAAAATTTTTTGCAGGCTGACAATACTGAACAATATACAGACACATACATTTGTTTGCATACTTAAAACACATTGTTCACGAAAATACCTACTCACAAATTGCTTTTTAATTGTGATCCAATAGAACTATTTTAAAAACAAAGTAACAAAACTGGCCTTGACAAAAAGGATGATATATTAAATAATTAGGGACATGTTAAACTAAGGTAGGTTCTTCTTAATCACTATCAGAGGTGTCTTCCATCTTGTAATCAGTCAGTCTGCCTATTTAAAGGGTGAAAAGTAGTAACCATAGTACTGGGTATAATGGTGTGTACCACACTGAACATGGACCGCAGAAAACTAAGCAGAGTGTCTCAGTAGCTTAGAAATAAAATAATTGACAAGAATGTTAAAGGTAAAGGGTATTGGACAATAGGTGCACATATTATTCAGAGGTTTTATGTCCATGGGACTGTAGTTGATCTCCCTCGACGTGGCCACAAGAAGAAAACTGATAACAAATCCAAGAGTCCAAAATAACTCCCAAAGAGATCAGAGGTGAACTCCAAGGACAGATCCCATCAACAGTCACTGTTTGAGCCAAAAAAAAAGGCTTAATGGAAAATAGCTATGGAGGAGACTACCAGTACTTTAAAAAAGTTATCATAAAACTAGACTGGAATTTGCCAAAATGCATATGTACAAGTCACAAAATTCTGGAAAAAATGTCCTTTGGACAAGTTAAACAAAACAGGAACTTGGTGGCAACAAGTCCCATCAGCTCTACTTTTACTGCATCTGACACTGTGTCAATATGTCGTGCAAGGTACAATGAAATCTCAAAAACTGTCTGTGTATTCTGGAGTAAAATTTACTGCCCAGTATCAGAAAGCTTGGTCCAATTCATGGATCCTCCAATAGGATGACACAAATCACAACTAAAAACACCCAAGAGTGGCTATCAACAAACATTAGACTATTCTGAAGTGGCATTCTGAGGCTTGAACATCTGTGGAAGGAGCTGAAACCTGCCGTCTAGAGAAGGCACCCTTCGAACCTGAGACAGCTGGAGCAGTTTGTTGAGGAGGAGTAGGACAAAATAACCGTGGACAAGCGCAGAAGTCTCAGAAACAGTTCCAAAAATCACGATTACTTGACCAAAATGTTATGTGTACCATCTTTTTTGTCAATGTCATTTTCACACTTTTTAAAAAATAATTCTGTTGAATCCCATTTCAAAATCAATGCCTGATTTTCACTAATTTTCAGTAAATGTATTTTGTCATTAATTTTTCCCAGTTTCAAGTTGTTTCAGTGACCGCTCTTTCTTTTTTAAACCAAAACTTGCAAACAAATTTATCTGCCCTTGTAACATTTACTATGGTCAACAGAGTACAATCTACTAAAGTATCTTTTCTATATTTCTTTTGAAGCAATCCTTGAACAGCTATTGTCATTAATGGCAAAATGGGAAATACATGTATGCTTTGAAGTTGTGAAGTTGAAGTGTGCTCAACACTCAGTCAAGGTAATGGTAGAGGTGTTTGTCAGCAAATGCAAATGTCTCTGATTATTGGTGACAGGAAAAATGATTTGGGAAAAAAGTGAAATTGCTGATTTTTGACAGCCCCAGTGGGCCAAATATGAACCAGTAGTTTGCTGGTAACTGGTGTATACTGCATAACTCATCCTGTAAGGGATCAAAAGATACACCACACTCCCTTCAGCCAAACTTTATGCTTTTTTCCTAATACTACTTGACAAGAGATATTCAGAAAGAAAGAAAGATGTTAAAGCAAAGAGGATGACATGAAATGGAAGCAGGCCAGCACACAATGAGGCAGTTGCCTGAGTGCATCTGAGCAGCAACCAAAAGGCTCTCAAAAGCTGTGCCTCCTAGTCATCATCCAAGATTTGAGGCTCTGAGCCTCGTGAGGAGTTTTCATCAAGCTGCAACATTCAAAGTCTTCCTGACAGTTTTCTAATTCTGCCTCTGTTAGATGCTGGCTACAGAATGGAGGAATCGGGGGGTGGGTGAAGAGCGCTCTGCAGCGAACAGCATGCCTGACTGCTCTTTGACGTGACACCGCATCAGATCCTCAATGAAAACGAGACATATGAAGGTGGAGGGGTACAGATGCGCTATGGGGCTCTTGGTAGCCATGGCCTGTGGGGGATACTTCACACAGTGCCACTCCATGTTTGTTTACCATGCCAGTGTGTGACCCGGTCAGCTGTTCCAGAGGCTGTGTTGGTGTGCGTGTGCTGGGGAGGGTGGGGTTGTGTAATGTCCTCTGCTTTTCTGAAACAGCCTTTCGGGAATCTCCAAGAGTGGCATAATTCGAATGGTAGGAGGGGTGCAATCAGCCTCCAGCAAACCCTGAATGAGAAATCAAGCCCTGCACATTACGGGTGCTCATCTGTCTGGCCCCCCTTACAGCTTTTTTCAATCCGTGTGTGGACTGAGTAGCATGTCAAAACAGGGACGTAAATAGACAAAGATGGAAAAGAAGGTATTCTTTTCTTCTGAAGAAAATGAAACGCCAAGGTATGGATATAAAACATGGAGTTTTGAAGTTATATTGATTTGAAAAAGAGCCCCGTGCTTTACTGGGCTGATCCGACCAGTTGCAGCAGGAATCAACACGGCATTAACCTTCTCAGAACATTATTTCAGATGGAGGAATTGTGTATTAAAAAAAATTCATAACGTAGCTTAAACACAGTAAGACATATTTTTTTATATCTAACACCCCTGCTGCAGATTTGTCCTAAAGACAAAACTTTCACAAAAATCTTTAAATCAAGGATAAAATTCCTAATCAAACCCTTTGATAACACTTTTTAAATTTATTTATTGAAATCTGTCATGGGACAGCATGGTGGAGCAGTTAGTAGAGCTGTCGCCTTTCAGCAAGAAGGTTGCCGGATCGAATCCCAGCTGGGGGTGCCATTCTGTGTGGAGTTTGCATGTTCTCTCCGTGCATGCGTGGGTTTTCTCCGGGTACTCCGGTTTCCTCCCACAGACCAAAAACATGCACGTTAGGCTAATTGGTAACTCTAAATTGTCCCTAGGTGTGAATAAGAGAGTGAATGGGTGTTTGTCTCGTTTGTCTCTATGCGTCCCTGTGATGGACTGGAAACATGTCCAGAGTGTCCCCCACCTCTCTCACAGTGATGGCTGGACATGGGCACCAGTGACCCTCATGACCCGAAAAGAAAGAAGCAGGTAAAAAGATAACTGATGGATGAATAGATGGATACGCAGATAAATCATTTACCGTACTTTTTTTTTAAATCTCAGAGAAATAAACATAAAATACAGACAAAAAAGACAATTTTAGTTTTATCCCTGTCAAAAATGATACAAGGTATTCGCTTTAACTTCATACTTTATAATGTAGCTGTCTTTGTTTCATTTTTATATAATTTCGTCTATTTATTTTTCATTTTACATGATTGTTTATTGTTGTCTGCTCCTCATATGTGTTCTTTGTTTAAAACAGGTCTCTCTTGAAAATGAGTCTTCGAGGCTCAATGAGACTAACCTGCATAAATAAAGGTTGAATGAAAAAAAAAAAAAAAAAAAGCTTCTGACGTTAAAAGATGTGTTTGCGGGTGATACTGAAATAAAACTTGCATTTGACCCACCACACAGTAAGTCACTTGATTGGCTCAGTGTCAAAAAACAATATGGCTGAAAGAAATTTTAATATTTTTCTTTTAAAACATCTAACAATAAGACAGGTTTTCCCACATTGTATTAATAATAACTTTATCGTATCAAGCCTGTTCTGAAAATCCAAACAGGAAATAGCTGGAATGCTTGTTTGACTTCAATGAAATATTTGCTGTGTTGCATCTCCTTTGTAGGTTGAAACCTTTCGTGACTTCAGACTTTTCTGTGGCTTGCCAGCACAGATGATTCAGTCCCAGGAGCTTTGGCAGTAATCCTTCCAAAGCAGACTCCGCTACATGAGGACATAACTGGGATTTCTACCTTTACGGTTTCACACTAAGCACACATGAAGTGTAAAATTTCTGTGCAGATTCAAAAGCATTTAATTTTCTGGGCAATTAAACACAGAGTTTTGATACACCAAGTCACACAGATATTCCTTTACCGTATAATGCACTGTGAAGAACAGGTACATGCATGCTACAGGGATCTCTATTACTGGTAAATATTGGAAATAAAAAAAAAAACATAATATTGGTTGATGATAGTAAAAGCCAATGTATCTGAATACAGCATTCATAAAATGTATTAAATTCTGAAATGACAGTAACACAGAAAAACATGACTGAATACAGTATTTATCAGGAATGAAGGTATGAAACTTGTTCTATGTTTAAGTGTTTAGTTGGTGGTTGAGCTCAGTTTGTTTGGTTCACCAGACATTTATTATTTTGAACTATAGTCACTTTTGAGCCTTACAAATAAGAAGAAAATGTTTTGTAAAAACGAGAAGCCTCAGTGTTAAAAGTCGAAGCCTAATGTGCCAGTGTCAGGCAACACACATCTACTCCCTTGATGGGTGCTGCTCACTTGTCTCGCTGTAACCAAAACCCATGAAAACAACAGTGGCCTCTTCAATAATTCAGGTGAGTTGGGGGCAACTTAAAAGGGCTGATACAAGTGTGAGTCAGAGCATGTCTACTGCTTCTCAAACCTTGGCCAATAGTGTAAAACTGAGATGAAATCAATGGCCGGTGGTGGAGGAAAATGAAGAGTGAATTTCCCTAATGGCAGGACAATTACAAGAGCTGTTTAGCCTGACCCCATTCCCCAAGATGGGGATGAGGGGCAGAGACTTGGCTCACTGGGCCGTGTTCAGCCTGATTGCTGGCACCTCCGCTGGGAATCTGGCTGCATAAAGCATGCCTATTTGCTAATGGTGGTGAAAAGAGGAAAGGGACAGAAGATGAGCTATGGAAAGGTTGAAAAGGGTGAGTGACCACCTTGGTGCTGTCCCACTCCTGGGTCTTGACCTGGGTGCGGACCAACTCGTAAGATGGCTCCATGGCCTCAGTTTTGGGTTTACGATAGCCAGGGATCACATTGTACAGCTGGAAGCCAAAAGTCACCAACCAGCTGTTCACATCTGCGAGGAAGGGGTTAAAATAGAGAAACATCGATGCACATTTAGTATACGCGACTAACAAACACGATCAGACAAACTGCAGACAAGATCGATGATTCATTTATTAAATTTGAACAGTTGACATTTAGTAGTTAAGTGGCCAGCTTGTGGAAATACTCAGTCGGGGAGCACACTTGATTTGTTTGTAAGAGTGAATGAGATTTCCTAAACACTTAAGATGGTGTTGATGATTCATGTCCACTCCTGCAGATGCCACCCAGCCAGAGCCCAGAAAAAAAAAAAACATTTAAAAAGCCCTGGCTGCTAATTATGTACTGTAATTTCATGTCACCAGAGAATTCAACAGAAGATATTTTTAATACTCAGCGGGTTCCTCTGCAGTCATATTTCCTCTAATGAGATGCACAAAAGTGACATGGTTGAGATTTGTCATCCGTCTAAAAGCAGCCACAATGTGCATGTGTTTATTGTCGATTTTCACAGAAAGGGGCCAAAAAATGCCACGAATTAAAACCTGTTCAATCTGAGCTGTTTGTCTCAAACTCTTATTATTGACAGCAGAATCATTGCTTTGACACGGAACGTGTGTGTGTGTGTGCGTGTCACAGATCGGTACTGCCACATTGTAGCACCTGACAAAGCTTCTTTAAACAAGAATTTGTTTGAGGACAATGAAAGAACCCCCAGTAATTTGGTAGATGGGATTTAAATGTCAGTGCCATCAATCACAATTGAGACAGACCCACTGCAGTATCCCTACCAGTCTGTTTAGCATTCAAAGCCCCTTAAAGGTGAAGCGTAAGGCTGAACACTGTTCTGACTGGAGGACAGGTGAATGGCTTTTATTGAACACAAAGACATTGAAGGCTACATTTGAATGCAAGGGCTAATTTTACCTCTATGTACTGTCTAAATGCAAAAATAAAAGATAAAAAAAACCCACGTTATTCTACAATCATCATCTAAATAATTGAGGCCATTTGAGGCACGCCGAGAATAGATTCACACATTTATGAATGTAAGTGAGACCAATTTATTTAACTACAGAGTATTTACAGAGCATCAGTGACAATGTAATTTTCCTTATCCAGCCACAGAGGTTGACTTTCTATAGATTCACTGTGCTTTCTTTCCCCACCGTGGTGCTTTCACTGCCATTTACCTTCTCCCACAAAGAATACAGAACATTTCTGGGGAAGATACGAGTGTTCAACAACAGAGAGGGCTCTGCCACAAAGCACTGCTCCCTTTGAGCATTTTCAGAATGATGGCCACTGGGCATGTGCACAAGCATAAATACATGCATGCACACACACACAAAAAAAACACAGCTTTAGAGAGGACACTTTTAAAAATCCACTGGGTGCTGTGCTTTTCAGTTCAATTTTGAAAGAGTTTTTCAATTGACGTTTGTTTTTAGAATCAAATTACATAAATAGAAATAAAAAGCAGATATTTTCTGCAAACAGTTTTAGACAAAATTAACGTTGGGGTTTTGGTCTTATTCCCCTTGCTAGATAATTTTAACAAATTATATTAATTACTGACAGGTTTAGTAGCACTGTATACAAACTCTCACTTTTATACATTTTAAATAAGTTATAAATAATTATCAAAATGATTTGTATTATTTTAAAATAATCCTACATAGTTTGACAGTAATATTTAGCTGAAAATCAGGCTTTGAGTATGAACTACTCATGCTGACATTTATGTTCTGTTTACTATTTCAAATACAGCAGGTAAAACAAATAGAAAATAAGTAAAGTAAAGTAAGGTAAAATACAGCAGAAAAAAATAGAAAAGTCAAGTAAAATAAAGTGTTATGTGTTGTCATCGTGTGCTCCCATACAATGGTGAAATTAGTTGTCTGCATTTAACCCATCCACCTGAGATACACCCAGGTGGAGCAATGGGTAGCTATATAAGTGCCCGGGGACCTATTAAAAGGGGGCCAAGATGGTGTAGAGGCAGGGCAGCCGATTCGGGACACAAAGGTCCTGGGCTCGATCCCCGGTCATTGCACATCTCGTGGTGTCTCTGAGCAGGACACCCAATCCCAAATTGCTCCCCGGGCATCCACATAGCTGCCCACTGCTCCACCTGGGTGCATCCCTGGTACGATGGGCTAAATGCAGAGAGCCAATTCCATCTTTGCATGGGAACATACAATGATGACAACACATAGCACTTTATTATTTATTAGGAAATAGGTGTCTTGCTCAGGGACACCAAGACATGTGGGAATGGCTGGGAGTCAAACCATGACTTTTCTAGTCCCAAATCGGCTGCCCTGCCTCGATCCCAAGTGGCACCGTAAAGCCCTTTGTAAATACAGGTGCCGCTTCTAAAAATAATAAACTCTTTTCTCACATTTCTTTTTATAAAGGAAATCATTTTGGCATAATACTTCATGTTTCTATATGTAAATGCATAAACCTTTCTGTAACTTCATAGAAGCAACCAGAAATGTAATGCTTTAAATTATTTGAGGTTAATTTTTAGATCTTGTATGCCAGTCTATGTAACTGTATTATAATCAAGTTCAGACATTTGTAGAGGTACTTATGTAGACCATTTATTTCCCCCTCAAAATTAATGATCCTTAAATAGAAATTGTGTATGTATTGGGAGAACTTACCCGTCATGTAGCACTTGGTCTCCTCGTTGTTGCTTAGAGGGTTGTTATTTTTAAACATGTATACGTTGAAAGGAACAATGTGGTTGCTGTTCAGACGTTTCCAAATGTCATGGTCTGGTGTTGTCCAGCGGCCAGCAAGGACATCATAATCCCGTCGGCCCATGTGGACCAGTTTACTAAGAGGCTCATACAGTCCTCCTTGGTAGCCAATAATGAGCTGGAAGCTGGGGTTGGTGTCAAGGTAAACCTCTCCAAATGCCGTGTGGAGGATCTGTTTGATCATGAGGCCTGAACCGCTGAACACAGCCAGAGGCGTGCCAATGTTATCGCATGCCACATAAAACTCATCCCCGCTGCTTAACTCCATGGCGAACAGGTGACCTTGTAGATCATAATACAGCGAGGCAATCTCCGAGCTGGAATGATTGTACATGTGGGTGACCCGAGTGGGGCTGGACAAGTCAGCATAGAAGAACTGCAGGTGGTGTCCAATGCTACTTCTGCTGGACACCCTCCTGCCCAGGCCATCGTAGCGGTATTTGATGCTCCATCCACTAACTTTATTGTACACCTTTATTAACAGGCCAGCTGAGTTGTACTCAAAGTAGTCGTTTCCTCTCTGCTTAAGGAAACCATCCTCGTCCATCCTGTATTGGACGTCTCCCAAACGAGTAATACGGTCTCGGAGATCGTAGCGTAGTGGCGTGAGCCGTAAACTGTTTCCAGGACTGAGGAGGTGCAAGTTGCCATTCAGGTCATAGCTGTACCTCCATAAAGGCTTATCATTGATGGAGACCACTTGGAGTTGACCATCAGCATCATACTCATATGTGTAGCGTGTGGTGTTAGCATAAGGTCCAACCTTTAACTCCTTGGCCACTACACGGCCCATATTGTCATACTGCACCATCATCCAGTACATGAGAGAACGAAAAATCTCATACTGGACCTCCTTCACTCGACCATAGGCATCAAAGTGTTTTGTGTGGGTCATCACTGCTGTAGTTATAATTTGGTTTATGTCATAATAAATCACTCCAAACTTGCCAAACTGCTCCGTTTTGCCTGACACGTCATCGTAGCGATACAAGTCGATCGGCAGAGGGGTTTCATTGATGACTGCCTGCATGCTGGTGACCCGGAAACTGTTGTCATAGACATAGTCGAATCTGGCGTTGACCATGCCCTCTTCACTGAATCTGAAGATCTGTCTGTCAATCAGGGGACCAATCTGACGGTACCGGATTGTGCAGGTAAAGCCTTCGCTCTGCAGGTTGACGGTCTTCAACATTCCTGCCACCTCATCATAGGAGAACCCGATGCGTGTGGTGTCATAGAGAATCTCCAGCAGCTTGGAGAGCTTTCCGTACTTGTAGATCACCCTGCGGCCTGTGCCCAGGTGGGTGGTCTGCAGCAGTTGACCATCCTCGCTGTAGTCTTGGAGCACTGAAGCGTTGCCTTCAGGTGGCCGATAGGTGTTTCTGTAGTAGCCAATGGAGCGGGAAGTCTGTAAGGTATGCCGTGCTACATTGGGCATGGTCACAGAACTGAGACGATCATTTTTGTCAAATTCAAAGATATACTGCCTCTGACTGTACAGCAGCAAAACCATAGACTGTAAAGAGAAAAGGAAACAGATTCTGATCAGAAACTTTAGTCCAAAGATAAAGTTGATGGTGCAGGTTGAACAGAGATATAAAAGATCTAAAAGAGTGTGTTGACATACACAAAAACATTTTAACATTCTAATTGGAAGCTGGCCAGATCCAATTCTCCAGGATTAAAGTGAAGGTATTTCTATTTATCTACCTTTGAATTTTTCGAAGATGTCATAAATCATGGAGGCTGCATTTCAGCCAACCATCCATAAGATCTTATAATGCAAACAAAAAGAGGGAATACAATTTTAAACAAGCAAGCAAGTTAGTTTATTGAACCAACAAATAACACCTTAAAAAGATTGTGAGATTGTCTCACCAGGCCATTGAAATAAAACAAACCCAACAAAAAAAAAAACTTTAAAAGGTGACTTGCTGCCATTTTTATCGTACATTTCTAAGCCAGAGAATAACAGCTCTTTGTTTTCCTCCTCAGTCTTGCCTTCAATTAGCGAGCAGAAAGCAACATTGCTCGCTGTTCTTTTCATCAAGAGCTATTTCTGGTTGAACTTTGCTGTCAGACTACGGTAACAAAGAACAGTGTCTACAGTGCACCCGACACTTTTAATTATGTTTTAGCTGATATTTCTGCTCGAGTTTTACTGTGTGTGCAGTGGCTGGAGAAGTGCAAGTTAGATTTGAACTCTCATCTAAACTCTTCCGTCAGGTTTCTTCAACAAACACACCGTCATCGGTATATTTCTACAGTCTTTATTGCATTTTATATTTAAACTGGTTATTTAGGCACTGAACATTTCATACCTTTTCGAGGTAAGTGTAGCTCCAAGATCTACCATCGGCAAATATTTGAGAAGTGATTCTGCCGTTCTGGTCGTACTCCATGCGTACGGACATCGTTCCTCTTTGGATTCCTGCCACATGCCCTCCAGGGGAGTAGGTGACATTGACTCCATTTAAACGACTGCTGGGTGCCCATAGAGTGGGCCGGCCAGCGTGATCGTAGTGAATCCGTAATGTAAACTTCCTGTGATCATCATAGACCTTTTCTGTTCTGGTGATTCGATCAAAGTCCAGCGATAGAAGGTTCCTATTATGCACCTAATGGAGAAGAAGCGCAGAATTAATGAACAAAGCAGCTCTACAAAAAAACAATACAAAAAGTGTTCAAAGTTTGAAATGATGGGTAAGAACTGGGGCGCCACTTTAAAGAGAAGGAACTTCAAGAGAAGCATTTAATCACAAAGTGATTATTTATTCTTCTTTATTCCATTTCAGAGCTTTTAATTTCAACAGTGGAGCACTATCTCAGGACAGCAGGGGCTGTGGAAGTAATGAAAATGTAAGAAATGTCACGCTTCATTGTTTGTGTAAAGATTCTGCAGGCATAGTGGGAGTACGCCACTTCATGCAAGAAACATTAGAGTCACATTAATCATTAAATTAATTTTCACTGCCTACTAAAAAGAATGACTGGGGACAGATTACTTGCATCTTATTTACAAAGCTGTTTCTGCAAATTGCAAATAAACTGTTTGTTTTTTTGTCCATTGTGTTTAAGACATTATGTGGTGCACAACCTTTTGTTGAGAACCATGACCCCTGACTTCACTGGGCTCCAACTGGAAACATACAGCTCACCGCTCTGAAGTCAGTAGGCGGCTTTTTTTCCACAGAGGTTGTCGACTACAAAACCTTTATCATTTGCTGTTTTCCCCCCCTTATTAAACTTCAGCGTTAGGCATGCTTTTATTTGATCTAATAAAGTGCCAGATAAGGCTTAGAAGCATCAGTGAGTCAGAAACCTGCTTCTGGCTGCTCTCCTGAAACATCCCACTGAACAGGTCGGACAAAGCTTGCTGAGAAAACTCACTTTCTCCATCTCACATTGACAAACACACCCTAAGGTCTTTCATCTGTGAAGGGACAATTTCACCAGAGGCAATTAATGCCACTGATACCCAACTGAGAGGATTACTTTAACTAAAAACCATGAGAGTTCTGAGCAGCAGGAGTCTGTGGAGCGGCATAGGCAAGTTCAGCACCAAGAATGACTGCTGATTTTTAATAAGTGCAAAACTTCCCTGAAATCATTACCTTAAAACAACAAGGCCTTGCATTCCTTAAAGGGATGCACATTGCCTGTTGCATGTCATCCATGTTGACAAGCTGTGGTGGCCATCTAACGGGACCGCACCACTAACAGAACCACACTGCTAACAGTGCCATGCTGCTAACGGGCCTGTCACTCCCCGATCTGTTACGGAAGCCGATCCGTGTCAGCTCATTTGCCCATGCGCTAAAAGTAACACTTCCGGGTCGCCGTTGAATACGCAAGATTAAGGAAAATGTACTGGAAATATCCTGTAAGCTGATTTAACACAACACAGGTTAACAAAATATATTTATGAAACATACCACATTTATTAATATTAATTAAAATATCTCTTTTTATAAATTTACAAATTTTCCTAGACAATGTTATAATTCCGTTTATGAATAAGAACTGTCTTAATTTACTTAAAAAAGTACGATCTTCATGTTGCTAATTTACGCCACTCGTATTTCCGTTAAAATCATTGACATATTAACCCTGCAAGATACAGAATGAATTATTTCCACGGTGAAGCTGCGCTACATCACATTCATATTTTTTAACTGACCCTAAATATGCGTCGCAAATCATTTTAACCAATGACGTAAATGATTTTAATATAAATACGAGTGGCGTAAATTAGTAATATGAATATCGTACTATGTGTTGTATTAAATCAGTTTACAGGATATTTCCAGTACATTTTGCTTAATCTTGCATATTCAATGGCAATACATGCGACCTGGATGTATTACTTTTATCGCATGCGCAAACGGGCAAACACTACGTATCGTGCTTCTGTAACAGATCGGGGAACGACAGGGACCATGTTGCTAAGAGAACCTCACTGCCAACAGAACCACTCTGCTAATAGGACCATGCTGCTGTAGATGTATTACTTTTTCACTTTTGGCGCCTTGATTTGTATTTTTGTTTTAAGCTTTGGTATTTCTTGTTTTTTTGTTGTTGAGTTGAGACAGTTCTTCTCATCCTGAGCATTTCATTTCATTGTTAACCTTGTGCTCATCTGCATATGACAAAAAAAAAAAAAAAAAACCTAAACCATCTTGAATGGAACTGATCAGTTGTAAATGAACATATAATGATTAATTTCTGCAAGTTTAATTAAAAATGTCTTCTGGTTCAAGAGCTATTTTGCAAAAAAAATGTTCAGATTAGCCATTAAAGCATGTGCATTAGATATTTTTGAATGTACTTAATATCAGAACCACTGTGTTTGATGCTTTATACCGGAGAGGACTGATTTCTATTCAGAAAAGTTTCACAAAGCCAGAATTGGGTTTGCCAAAGTCTCCTTTTGAATAACTGAAGGGGAAAAAATAGTGACAGAAGTGATCTGAATATCCCACGAGAATGGAAACCCACTCAAGAGGAATAACTTCAAAATTGGACATCATGTCTAAAGGAAACATCTCAAAGCAAGCCGGCATGTGAAAACAAAAAAGGGGGGATTTAGAATAACACCAGACCTAGAACAACAGATTTCTAACTGTTCTCTGCATGAAACATCACAGCAACAACTCACCCACCAATCAATATCAAAGATTTCTGTGTCAAGTGACAATCTCAATTTGCCATTCTACAAAATGCCTTTAATCAGTTTTCATGATGAATTCAGTTCAGTGACTGTTTTCCTCTGTTTATTTATCTGTCACTGCAATAAAACACATCCCATCGTGCTTTATTTCCATCTTTTATCTCTTCTGAACTAACGGCCCCACTTCTAAGCCACTGCACAGACATCAGCTTTGTCTTAGTTTTGTATTCTGTGATGAAGTGGATAAAGAGCATTGCCATGGTGCAGTGGCAGCCACAAGGGTTCTCTCATTACAGTAAATTAACAAACTGCTCAAACTAAGAGGAGGGGTTGTTATCATTGAGGGATGCAGTCACTGTGCCTCATGAATGTAAATGATAAAAGGTTGCTGGGAGGGGAAGTAGACCTAAGGAGCATGTCGAGAGAAAAACAGAAAGAACTGGAGACTGTAATTGACCTGTTTTACTGTCACAAGAAGCAAAAAGCAGCGCAATAGACACATGTACGTGCCGTTCCACTGTTTAAAAAAATCCAGGCAGCGAATCAAACTGGAACTCAGGAGCAATCTGCTTTCTTTTGTCTTCACCGCTCTAAACACCCAAGAAAGACCTGTGATGTCAGAGCTGCATCTCTGATTTGTATTCCAATACCCCCCACTCCCCCCAGCCACCACACTCTCACCCAGCCACCCACGTAATATCACTTGACATGTCACTCAAGGTCGCTCAATGATTCCAGCTCTGTTCATCCCCTCTGTTCTTGCCATTAGGGCTGCTCCCGTTTCCTATCTCACCCCTGAGGCCATTGTCTGTAACATACATTAGACGCTTTCGCTTCCAAAAAGGACGACAAGACCATTAAATGAACAGCCAATGACAGACAAAGTGGCACCTCTCCATTAGCTGGGTTGCCTCCCAGAAAATGGAGAAGACAATGTAACCAAAGTTACTATTGTTCTTTGTATGGTCAAGAAAAACAATACAAGTAAAACATGTTTAGTATTCACTGATGATCTCGAAGTTAATAGATCTACTTAGTAGGTTAATTTAAGTGCTTTAAATTGGATTTTTAGCACATTAAAAAATAATCTGCTCAAATTTTGTGTGCTACTGTCTTGTTTTTGTTGCAAGTTTATTGATTTAAGTCCATTTGTTTATAAAGTTTTTTAGCTTATTTTTTCATTCAACCTTTATTTATACAGGCTAGTCTCACTGAGCCACAAGGACTCATTTACAAGAGGGACCTGTTCCAGACAGAACTTATAAAGTACAGACAATAATAATAATAATGTGTTATGTATTGTCATCATTGCATGTTCCCATACAATGGCAAAATTGGATTTCTGCATGTAACCCATCCACCCCCAGGTGGAGCAGTGGGCGGCTATTGGGGGCACCTGGGGAGCAATTGGGGATTGTGTGCTACTCAGAAACACCATGAGATGGGCAATGACTGGGGATCGAACCTGGGACTTTTGGGTCCTGAGTCGGCTGTCCTGCCCCTACCCCATCACAGCCCCCAACAACAATAATAGACAATGACAACAATTAACTACAGTAAAAATGCAGTTAAAATTAGTTTATAAAACAATAAACCAGGGTGCTGTAAAATGGTGAAATACTAAAAACAAGAACATACTTGCTTTGATTTTTCTATTGACACTATCAAATGTTTGAAATGCCTTAAAGGAATCAAGGTAGACAACTTCAGTTCCTGTTGCAAGGTGTTCCAGGTTGCAGAGTAGGAAAAGGACTTTTTGCCAAATTCAGTCTGCACTGAGGGAACGCTGCAAACAAATATGGCCTGAGAGCGCATGTAACTACACTGAGGGCACGACATGTGGGAGGAGATATAAGAAGGTAGCAGACCAAGGAGGGGTTTACAGATGAAAATGAACCAGTGTGAGAGCCTATGTGTTAGACCACCTGACCAAGGAGTACAGCGTGCAGTGATGGGTGTGGTAGTTACAACCAGTTATGAATCTTGGCGCGCCATGGTAGACAGCACCCATCATCTGCAAGGAGCTGACAGGGGCGTTCGTGTACATAATGTCACCATAGTCAATGGCCGGTAGGAAGGTAGCAATTACAAGATGTTTTCTGGCATTCAGAGTTAACATCCTTCCATTCCAATTTATTTTCCTGGTTTTTTTGTACAGGGTCATGGAGAGCTGGTGATCGTCACCAGCAGTCATTGAGGGAGAAGCTGAGTCCTGGACACCCTGGACAGGTCACCAGACCATCACAGGGCTGCATACCCTTTTTCATTGTTTTATTAATCTACTATTTTTGGTTGCTGTTCTTTGCTGAATAAAGTGAATGACAGCCCCACCAACCCCAGTGTGTTAATCAGTGTTTGATTGAGGGGAAAAAAAGTGCTGCACATACAGATTATATATTCCCTACACCACAAAACTGATGTATGAGTATTTTTTCCCCACAATGCAATGTGGCTTTCAGAATTTAGATAAAGAGTAAAAGGCGTTAAATGAGTGTGTACTATTTACAAGAACGAGTCAGATACAATCGGTCTACAGTCGAATTCAGGACAAAGTGAAGGTGATATCTTACTGGACTGCAACTGTTAGTGACCAGTTGGGGACTGGAAAAGTTGCAAGAAAATAGATAAATTTTATATTGCAGTCTCACTGAACAGATCTGAAGGTTTACGACCAAGAAACCAACAAGCTGAGAGGCTGATTTTTAAACAGTTTTGGAAAATCATATTTCTACTTTATTTTGTTGTCCAACTATGCCCACCCAATTTGTAACCTATGTAACCTTGGCACATCCATCCCCACATTTATGATTTAATCTGTTTTCATTACACTTTTAAGGCTTTAACAAAAGGTTTCATATTACATCTGTATGTCTGAATTTTTAAACTATGCAAAATACATTTGGCTTAAATGTAGCCAGCATTATAGCAGAGTTATTTTTAACACATGCAGGCTGACATTTGTCACTCAGCATTACGAAGTCATGATTTAGATTTGCAAAGCAGCAGCTATAGGAAATGACTGGGAAGTTAACAGCTGGGTTTCATCTAGGGAGCAGCCGTGTTTTAGCTACTATTTCAAGCTCATTCTGATAGCTGATAAATGAGAAAAGCTGTAATGGGAATTCAGCTGCATTTCCTCACAGCATGTGAGCACAGAGACTGGGAGTACAGTAAAGCAAACATAGTAATGTTTGCCACATTAGCCACAATTCTAGTTACATTATTCGTCCAGGGATTAAAAAAGAAATAGTTGCTAGGGAGTGTCTCATGCACAAGTCAGTAAGTAACTAAGTACATAAAACAAAAAAATACATGAATAAGAGTAAATAACTAAAATGTATAGCATTCCATAAAACAATGCATATCACTCTTTCATACCCCGATAAGAAACTTAGATCAATATTTGGTAAATAACTGAGTTATGGCCATTTTGGTTAAACTCTTATGCTTCTTGCTTGTGCAATATTGCAATATTTCACTTAACATTCAGAGTATAGGCTGGAGATCAATTGCATCAACTACCACATCAAATTTTTAGCTCAGAATTTGAAATAACACAAATGTAGCTATGTTTGCATTTGCTAAGACTGCTTAGCTGTGGCAGCCATCTTGAATTGTGCTGACTTCCAAATATAATTAGCTATAGATGTCAACCAATGTGTACTTTCTGAAAGTGTCATTAAAATCCATTTAGCAATTTATGATATATTTTGCTAACAATACAGACACATGAGCAAACACACACACACCAAACATGGGGTACACTTTGATTATTGCATTTGCTCTTGCGGCCAATAAAAGGCAGTTTGTCGTGCCGTGTTCATGGATATAACTTTGACATTAGAATTTGCTTAAGAGGCTCTGGTAAGTAAAACAAATAACTGCAGCAGCTGCTTGTTTAGAGGGCAGACCTGTTCAACAACCTTGGATGGTACTTATCTAGTTTGGATGTCAAAAGTGCATTTATGTTGTTCATTTATGACTTATTTTTTCATTACACAGATCACACAACACAGTTCTACTTGGCACACGTCTTCCCTTCTTTAATTCCCACCGCAGACAGTATCTTTGACGTGGGCAGGATCAAGTGTTTGTTATAGCAGCATGTTTGAACGTTTGCTGACCCCCAAAGAGATCTTCCCTGTGTGTGCTTGTGTTTATTAGGCTACACTGTGCTTGCATATTAATAAAAAAAAAGTTTGTATCCAAAACAACTACCAAGTTCAAAATAAATGGGAAACAGAATGCTTTTTGCATACGAAGAGTTTTAAAGGGGGTTTTACAACAAAGATGTTTGGATATATTTTGGTTGTGAGTAAATTCTGCAGAGGGAAAAAGGTAAATCTGTAAAACCAGTTAATAGGGATGCACTGATGGACTTTCAAACAACAAAGGCTAAATCATGTAATCTGGACCAGTTTCTTTAACGGTGAAATGTTTCGTTCCCCATCCAGGGGACTTTGTCGGTCTGCGGCCTGCCATCCTTTTTCTGAACCACTTTGTCATTGGTTGTCCTCGGGCTGATTCTGTGAGTAGCAAGTTGGCCACCTGGCCTAAAACATTTGATTGTTGTACATGATGATTGATTTGTTTTGGATGGGTGTGCTTTGCACGTGTTAAAAGCCTACTTTTGAGATTTCAACAGGAGGTTGGCTTGAAATACCTATGGGACAGACCTGGTTGGCAGGGCGCAGACCGACAAAGTCGCCTGGATGGGGGACGACTTTTCTCACTTAAAGAATCTGGTCCCGATGACACAATTTAGCATTGTTTGTTAATATCTACCTGGATGATTGCGCTTACAACAACTTAATGAACCAAGACAGCAATGCTATCTAGTTATTTAGGTACTAAAATATTAAACAGGCTGGTATCCTGATGTTGAAAACTCTTGTGTATACCCACAGATTAGTATCAGCAAAGCAGAATTCTTACCCGTAGTCTGCGTCCATACACAGTGACCTGGCCACGAGACTGCTCCTTCCTCTGTCTCCATTCCACCAAGTTTAGACCATTGTCTATAGCCAGGGTTATGTTCCGCTTGCTGACTGTGGGGTTAACTGTGCCGGCCAGCAGGTGGGGCTCAGTGTACAGGGAGACCTCCATGCCATTGGCCAAAACTAGCCGCAAGGAACCATCCAAACCAATGAAGTAGCTGTTTCGAACCTGATCTGAAGATGTAGAGAAGACAAAGGAAAAATGGTCATGATTAGGGTTAGAAACAGTCTGAGTTTCTTGGAGCTGAGAGAACCTAAATCTAATATTCCTCTCGTAAGACACACAAATAATGATCAAAAATGGCTGCACAGCACAAAGGAAGCCTTTAGCAGCAGTATTTAACTGAACCACTGCGGTAATGTTGAGTCTGTGACAACAAAGATCAATAGTGCAACGTTTCACAGCACCAGTAAAGTAAAATTTTACAGCTGTTGCGGCAGCCTGGAGGATGCTGAGGGATGAAAACTATCAACACTGCTAGCTTGCCAGTGGCCACAGAGAAGGCAGGGTACCCCCTCCCCCCAACACACACACACACAGAATCACAGGGAATAAATCTGAACCTGTCTATTAGTATCCCAAGGTGACAACAGGCTATGTTCTAGTTCAAGACCAGTGAGTAATGTTTTCACTGAGCATCGTATATACATCCACCAGGGAATGCTTTGCTCCCACTTCTTGTAAGCAACTGAAAGGACCAGAAAGCAATTTAAAGATACTTAAAGTTTTCTCAGACACTAGTTACTGGACTTCATTTAACAGAACAAAGCAACAGCTTTGTACAGGGTTTCCCTGTTTACTGCTTTCTTGCAATTTATTTACAGCGTACACAAAATAAGCTAAACATTTGTTCAAATTCAAATGTGCACAAGATTCATTGGTCCAAAGCATGGCTGAGTGTGTTGAATTATGTGAGAACTGGCCTGCAACTGACCTTGGTCAGTCCACTGGTATTTAACTCTTTCCATTGTGGGGACATGTCAAGAGTTGACCAATGACCTTGGATGAACATACCACCAACAAAATGACCCCTGAGGCCAAACAAACCCCAAAATACTGCTGAGTCGGAGAGTTCTCACCACGTACTGGTCTGTGGGGGAGGGACCTACGCTACAGTTATATTCACCTTAAGGTGATTGGTCTGCTTAAAACAGAACCAATAATGGTGCTACATTTACACTCACAAGAATTACACAAAGTTACAGCTAGGGTTGACTCTGCAAATTGTTGAAAATGTTCTGTATATTTACAAAATCCCAACATAAATTTATTTTTCTGCAGCTATTGAAAATTAGACTCAAAAATAAGAAAACAAAGAAGAAAATTGTACTGTATGTAGTTGTTTATTCACTGAGGATAAATATCCATTTTCAAGCCTCATTGTATTGTGCCCTACAGTAGGACTGTATTATTATTTTTAATTTCTGGTCTTTAATGTTTGATAAAAATTGAAGCAAGTCCACATCAGCATGGAGTTCTAACTGGCAGCTTCTGAGAGTTTATCTTTCACATTTTACATCTTAAAGTTGTCCACCTAAATGATTACACTGAAACCTAAAAATCGAAATAGACAAATAAATGTATGCATTACATGGCAATCTGCTTGAAAGCTTAAAAAGTAGAAACTGGTGAATTATTAACAGCAGAGCTATTGATGTGAATGTTTTATCCCTCAACAATGTCTAAATCAAAGTCAGAAATTGAAAAAGACCATTCTGTTCAATAACAGTAAGAGACAGGAGATTGCTCTTAATCTTATTGGGTTGAGATAAATGTGAGTACAGCAGAAGCTACAAGTTCCAAAATGATCAAATCTAATAATGATGAATCAGAACTCGGTCAGGCCAAAACTTACAGAACACAATGTTCAAATGGGTTAAATTCTCTATTCAAGTTTATTTATCACTACATTTCCTGGAGGCTCTTGTACGACCACCTGCACTGTGTTTGAGGATTTATTTTTATGACATAAAATCAATGTTTCTATTTATTTTTTATATACTTTTATGAGAAATGGGAGTTAAACCACACACGTTATTAAAAACAAAACGGAAAGAAAGACGGCTTTGATTAAACTCTACATTTAAAAAGTGATGTGAAACCAGGTTTGGTTCTATTTATATAGATATTTGAAATGTCTGAAAAAGAAGACTCCTGCTTCTGTCTCTTTATAGTACTTGCTATTCTTGCTGACAAGTTAAACAGGGAAAATGAGCAGCTGCATAGAGAAACAAAGCTCTGATCATCTGGCCACCTCAGTCATTTACTGTGTTGATTAGAAAAGAAACAAAAAAAAAAAATCAGTTTGAATTGTTTCAGGTAAAACCCGGAGGCGCCCACAGTGAGGTTATTCACACTGAGCTCTCATCCAAGCAGGTTCTCAACCTTCACTGTTCTTTCACCGCTTTGAAAAGTTTAATACATGGTTTAAATTGCTCTGTTTTGAATATGTAATTCACATTAAGATTTCCGTGTAAGGTGTAAGTATGTAATGTGTTCAGCACAGTCGACTAACCAAGTCATTATTAGCTAAACTGAGACAATTCATAAAAAAAAAAATCAGGAAAAAATTTCACCTAGTCACAACAGGTGTCATTGCACTTACACATATCTACAAGGTACATGTCAAGGCAATTCCTGGAAAAATTAAAGATTACCATACTTGAAGGAAGGCATATTACAAGTAGGGGTGCACCGATCGCAGTTTTCTGGCCAATCTCTAAAAAGTCTGACCTGCTGATTCCGATTTTAGATGATACCAATTTTGTTTTATAAGCGACACTGTCAGGTGTTATAAGGTCACAATGTACCTTCAGTTTTCCAATTTTATTTTATTGAAAACATACCCTTGAACAATATCCTAAAAACAATACAAACTTGCTTTACCCGGTCATGAGGTAGTGTTCTGAAATATAAATGAAGTTTAGACAATTGTTGTTAAAAGTACAAAAAATCTGTAAAATTGGTTTCTCATGTAAGCATTGGCCGATCACCAATCACTCAAAATTAAGGAAATTGGGGCCGGCAGATTTATCGGTGCACCACTTATTACAAGATGGCAACTTTTTTTGTTTGTTTTTTGAGTACAGTAGTCCTCGCTACTACGCAGTTTGTTTTTTGCGGTTTTTCAAAATAAGATTGGACAGGACCCACAACTGGCTGATTGATGGATGAGCTGCACGATCGGCATGAAATTTATATTTAAAATAAATTATTTTAAATTATTTAGCACCTGCTGCACCTGTGTGCAGCCCACAGCTGAAGGAGAAGCTTCCTCCTGCAGCGTGTCATATCTTTGCTATGCAGCGGAAAAATGGGCGTGGCCTAGAGCATTGGCAGAGAGCAGTGAAGGCAGAGAGCTGAAATCATGACATTCTATGCTCTTTTAGAGCCTTTAGAGTTTTGCAATATTCTAAGCAATGTTTCTAGAGTATGGGAAGGGTTTAAAACACCTTTATATATATCTATATAAATAATAAAATAAACTACTACTTCTACTACTATTTCTACTTAGCGGATTTTCACCTATCGTGGGTCTTCAGGGTACGGATCCCCCGCGATAAACGAGGGACTATGGTATGGGCCAACTTTAGCAAAGTTAAAACTTTTGGATCTTGAGTTTTCCATAAAATAACATCAATAAAAATAATTAAAAAGGCTAACCTTGCAAAAGCGTATAGAAGTTTCCAGAGGCAGACAGGTTGGTTGTGACTGTGATGTCCTCTTTGTTGGAGCCTTCGGTCTGGATTCGAACTGAACTGTCAAAATCTGTACGGAAGCTGCTCACTCTGCCGGTGGGGTACGTGATGTTGGTCAGACGCCCGTAACTGTCGTACCTGCAAAAAGAAGAAGAAAATATTCTCATGATATTTACAGATAGGCAATGATTGGCAGTCTTTATTTTTTGTTTACGGAGCCTTTTAGTTTCTTCTTGGTGTCACAAACTGCAGAATGTGTGAACAGAGGCAATAAGCAAGCAACACATTACCCAACAAGTTATAAATTCAGAAATACCACCTTTAATCACCTCGCGGAAGAACAATTATTGTGCTCTTAAAAAGACAGACCTATCTGCTGCTGCACTCTACTATTCATGAGTAAGGAGAAGGTACAGCAATATGCAGAGCAGGTTTGAACTTCTCTAGCTCTTTCAGTAAGACATGAAGAGGTCATGAATACAAATATATCCCAATCTTTAAGTAACAATCAAATGACAGACGCATAATAGAGAAACATGAACTATTTTGAAAAAACTGTCACAGTCAGGCTGTAAAAGCCCATACCTTTCTACATTTGGAATTCTACTTAATAGCTTAAAAGATTAACACCATCACCTAATCTCTTTATATGGTCTTTGAAATAGGAGCGCACAAGTGCAACTCCTTTGAGAGATACGGTATCTCTGTAGCCTACAAATCAGTTCATCACATACAAGAACATGAGTGGTCAGATTGTTTCGTTTTGCTCCGAGAGCACATGGGAACCGAGCAATTTGAATTTCTTTAGATTGCCAATATTCCAGATTTAAAGTGAGTGAACAGCAGATTACTTAGACTGAAGACTTTTATCTGTGCACTGAATATACATTAGAAGGTCCTGTCCTATGTTGCTGTAATAAAGCTTCTAATAAATGAGATGCGGGGTGCTAGTTTACAGATATTTTCTCAGTTCTGCCAGCTCAAATATCCAGTATAAAAAGGAAGAGTGGGAGAAGGATCATCTCCTAGAGATAAATGTTATCCGATCTAAGCCTTACGACGGACTGGGATTCATGAGCGTATCTCAGCCGAGTCTTTCACATCAGGAAATACAAAATAGCAGGGTAATTTATATCTAAGCATTTGATTTCCTTGATACTGCTCATATTTTATCAGGAAGGGAGCTTCTGTGTTCATCGCACGTTCAGGCTTCTGCAGTGAAAACGCACGTTATCTCAACGGCGCCGTCCTGAACGGTTTAATTTATTCAGCACAGTCTTTCTGTTCGCCTTCATCGCAAAAATCCAACAGATAGAAAGCTCATTTTGAAGCAACACTACATGCACCGGCTTGATCAGTGACCCACACTGTTTCTGTCTCAATTAGGGCTGTGAGCTAGCTAGTCGCTCCTTGAGCCTTGCCGCTGAGCTGCTAATGGTTCTGGCCTGCTTCAGCTCAGCTGCCTATTAGTTTGCTTTCTCTGGACAAGAAGGGCATGCAGGGGCAGGGTGCTCAACAGCAGGAGAGAACTGGTTTCCCCATGGATGGCCACAAGTCCATTCACATTGCATCACCTCAGTGTGACAAGCTAACTATATGAGCTTTCATGCCAAGGACAAAACAATAGGTTCATGTCAGCATCACCTCCAGCACAACAAATGTCAGTTTTATGCAAGAGCCAAATATTTTTGTATTGTTTTTTTTTTTTTTTCTCAACTCAAGGACATAAAACTGTGATCTGTTTGCAAAAGCATGTTTGCTTTTAAACAGAAGTATCATTACCTTATTAATAGGAGAGAAAAAAAATACTTAGTGTCAATGCTTTAGTAGATTTATTCAACCCTTGAGCATAAGCACTTGTTCTAAGAATTAAAAATATAAGGAGGCCGGTGGGTGTATACAGTAAATGTCAGTAAAAATGAGGTTGCCAAAGGTTACATAAAAAAATAAAAAGTCAGTAGATAATGTCTCTTGTTCTCTCGAGTCAATCCTCGGAGTCATCTTCGCACTCATCGAGGTTATTTTGATCTTTAGACTAAGGGATAAAAGTATGTTTTAATTATCATGGGTAAATGTTTAGTCATGCACTTTGTTGGACAGAGATAAATTGCCGTTTTGACGGCAGCAAATTATGCGTTTGACCCTCAGGTGGTGGGCTGACCTTCATCGCTAATTATTAAAGCAAAAAAAACAAATGTTCTTTCTTGGGTCTGAATGAAATATGGATAAACTGATCCTCCTGTAGGTAAAAAAACAAAAAAAAACAGACATTGCTTAACTTGGAAGAAAAAAAAGACCAATACTACCCTTTTAAAAATTATTAATTTTTACCGCCATAATTTTAGTTCATGCATTTTATTTTTCATTATGCATATTTCTGGAGTCATTGGGACATTTATTCAGAAAGTCTCTAGGTATGAACTGGATGTTGGTTCCGCTGGGGCACAAAAAGGAGATGCACCCCCTGGTGAAGCATGAGCAGCATAACAAGTGGCAGCAGAAAAGGCCAATTTGAGTTAAGAGTTTAATGAATGCTTAAAATTAGTTGTAAGGACTTGATAATAAAGCTTATTCTGATTCTTTTCTACTTCTAAATAAGGGTCAGCCACCGAGGTATGTTTTACATGTT